TTAATTCTAGTCCAATTTTGTTTCGTTTACTCACATTTTACGTTTGTTTGCCCAAATGGACACACAATGCTTTCATAAATACAATTCAGTGGATGGAATGCATACAAATATTGTGTGATGTCATTAAAAATTTAATTATCAATTTAAATATTGCAAAGGCGATTTACAGCATAAATTACAATTGCATTGTGGCATGATTTCGAATGTGGGAAAAAGCAGCCGAACCGCATAGGAAATGGACACGCGGTAACAGATCACTCCCGCCAAATGGCAATTTATACTTTGAAATTTTATGAAGTGAAATTCGGTTAAATTATTATTGTGCTATTTCTCGTACGTACCAAAAAAATCCCCGAGGAATTATTACAACGATATTGCAATTCATTTAAATTAATGTTTTTCACTAATTTAAATCTTTTTCGCATCGTATTTGTTCCGGGGTATTTTGAAAATGTAATCATTTTTCGATGCATACCATGGTATGCATACACACAAAAATGATTGACCATGGATGTTGCATTTTCGAAAATTTGTGTGTAACAATGTCAGTTGTTGTGGTTGGTTTTGTTTTGTTTGGCTCGATGAATTTCATTGGAATTCGAAATTTGACAAATTTTCGGTTGTTTCAAAGCGGTTGTTGTTATTGTCAATCAAAGTCATTTGAAGTGAATTTTAATTTGCAACTCATTTCAAAATCAACAACACGAAAGACAACTGGCACAAATTGTTCGTTGATTCTAAGCACTTGTTCCGAAAAATGTGGCATGTTTTGTGTGTGTTTTTTTGAACGTATTTTGATTCCGATATTGTATTCGCTGCTATTTTATGTAGCTTTTTGAAAAGCGAAAATTCTCTAAACATTTTTTTTTTATTCTGAAAAGGCAAAACAGCAAACAAACAAAAAAGATATCTACACAAAATAGAACAAATTGTTGGAATTTTATTTATCCATTTGGCTCTCTTATTGTAGCATCCAGTTTCCCGACCCAAACTCAATTTTTCACATTTTCAGTCAGCATGGTGCAATCAGACGCCATGTTTCCCTTTTTTATGCCATGAATGCTGCTGCTGCTCCGCTCATTCCGATGAGCAACATTTTTATTCAAATTCTTTCGCAAAGCTCGACATTCTGACGGTGTTAAACGAACAGGAACTTTTTCGTAATTCACAAGAGAAATCAACGCACATGCAAATATTTAGCATAGCTCCAGAGATACATATAATAGGTACTGAAATATACATTTCGAATACGCATAACAAATTCCAATACGAATAACGAAAACGAACGAAAAAAAAACTTCAACTCTCGAATTTACACAGAGAGAGAGAGAATAAACGAAGCCAAGTCATACTCACAAACATTCTCACGAATTGGAAAGTTTTGTGATGTCGTCTGTGACTTTTCCACCGGCTGACGTAGAAAATGTTGTACGATTTAAACGTATATACTATATTGGTGATTCGTCGCTTTTTCCATTTTCTGTTTGTCGCTTTTATTTGCCGTTTCGGTATTCCGCTTGAAAAGTTTTGCATTTGACTAAATGGAGAGAACATATGTGTCACACAATCAGATAGTCAACATATATACACACACGCATGTTTGATTGTGGCAGTTGTACAGCTAGAAAATTTGCACAATTTCACATCAAAAAGACTTTTCCATTGAGAAAAGCTACAAATTTTAAATGCTTTACGGACGAAACATATACATACATTTTTGCTTAAAAGTCATTTCGATTCGAAGTTTTAACGAAATACTTTGCTCGTCTATTTCATGCACACATTGCATAGTTTAACTTGTCTACTTTTTTTCCACATTTATTTAGAGATTCTAATGGCCTCCAGAACATCTGTTGGTACCCGTTCTCGGAACTACCAAATATGGATTTGTTTGAAGCAAATAACTGTTCTACCGAGGACTAAATGGAAACCTAATCGAAGACATTTGGACAAATGGTTTGGAAATAGCCAAAAAGCAGAACAAAAGTCAATTGGATGGGCAATAAAAGATCTAAGTTACCATCGACATTCCATTTGGAATATAATCGAATTGTATTTTTGTACTAGGTTTAACTATATACACCATCATTTTATTGTCTTAATCATTTTTAACTTTATTTGAGTAACTTTTAAAATACAGTTTTGATTTTCTATTTCAATTATTTTTTTACATTAAATTTTTAGGGTTGTTTTTTTATTAAATTTCATTGGACATTAATTATGTACAGTCCCCAACATTTCTAGATCTACGATTGGCAACATTGCTTTTGTTCCAATATATTCATACGACTGTATGTGCAGTTGGCAGAACTTCTCTCATTTTTCAGCATTTATTTTAAACGTCAATCGTACATCTAGACATGTTGGGGACTGTACGCAAGTAATCAGCTTCTGGTATGTCTGCAAATGCAACATTCGTATAAGTAGGAAACCCCTAGAAAAGAACGAAACTCTGTTTTTATTTCAATTTAAATGATGAATTTTCTTTGGTTCTACCGTTGGGTGGCCATTATATGCTGAAGTTCACGGGACAATTCCATTCTTCGGTCGAATTGGTCCCCGGAAAGTAAGATCATCTGGCCGAAAAATGTTTTAAATACAGATACAGAGATCTGTATATAAGCTACTAGAACTTTTTTATTTGCAGATGCCGTGACTGCAAATAATGGCGGCCAGACGCAGCATGTCAAATATGTAGACGATAGCATGTCGATGGTGTTGTCAATGTCAGCAACGGACGTTTTGTATCGAGTTGACCACATATTTTTTGAAAGCTGATTCAAATATATGATGAGTGGCATGTTTTGTTTGCCACTGACAATTTTTTCCTCTGGCCATATTTTGAATCGTTTCAATTTCGATAGGGGGAATTTTTTTTCTCAATTGAACCGGTTACGATACGTTCACATCGTGGCTTGTTGTTGCTTTCACTTGGAATTTCATTTTGCGTAGTTGGCACGTGGATCTTAACAATTGTTTTGACCTCCAAATGGTAAAATTTTTATTAAACTTTCGCTCCTTTCCAGAGGTTAGATCCTTGCTCTTCTTGACACTGAATCCAGTTTCATTTTCGCTGACAAATTCGGCATGAATCTCGCGCCCATTGTGTAGCATTTTTGCGCTGATTTCAAAATGTTGCAACTTCTTCTGGGTCTGTAAACTCGACTTCTGGTCTGCCTTTAACCCACTGAATGGTATTTTGGTGACGCTTATCAGTTCCGGTGCGATTGCCTTGACTCGGCGGTAACACACTTTCCTCGTTTAATGTATAGCTGTGTTATTCTTAATGTCGTGGTATTCTTTTTAAAATTACACGCTCTCACATTTTTAAATTGGACTTGACTTTGGTCGATTTAAGCTCATCTTTAAAGCTTGAAACTATATATAATCATGATTTTGATGAGTCAATTGATAGCTAATCATATAACATATGTGTACACCTATAAAAATGGTTGAAATGTTGCATATGCATATGCAGCAAATTGCACATTTTCGGTGCAAATTTTGCATCAAATTGCATGTGTGACATCTTGATGTGCAACATGTTTGTTTATAGGTGTAGATTAAAAGAATGTTATATTAAGAAAAATGCCGTGTATTTGTTGCCGAATTCCAAATAGCTTCGACACAGTGCAAAACAAAATTGACAACTGTAGCTGTTACAGAAACAATACAAATACATAAACATCACATGTACGCCCAAAGCATCACAGCGACGAAGCTAAGTAGTGAGCGCATGTAGTAGAATGTTGGCTCAGCATATTTTTCTCTGTTGTTATTGCTTGTACATGTATTGTTTCGGTGACAACTAGAGTTGACAATTTCGTTTTGCATTATATGTTTTGCTCCATAAAATCGATGACAACTAACAAAATGAATTCAAAAATATTATTTTGTTATTAATTTTGAGTATTGTTTTAATATTTTGATTTTAAATCCATCAGGATTTTTTTTAAATCCCTCAGGATTTTTTTTATAGAAAAATCCTAAAAGTATACAATTTAGTCCGACTGGGCCCAAAGTGTATTAATTTCCTGTTGGCGAAAGTTTCAATGGATTTTCAATTTTCATGCAAACTAACTGACCATCGAACTTTAACGCTTCTTCGAATAGCAAATACTAAAGCAATGACGATTGATACGTAGTAATATCAATATTTACTTTATCAAAACTTTTTTCAAAAAATGATGTAGCAAATTTATGAGTAATCCCAGCCAAAAGTTGGACGAAAGTTACCAAGGGGATATTCATACTAGAAAACTAGTGAAACTTACAGCAACTAGCACAGTACGATTAGTGTTTCTAGTGCGTGAAGTTGGTTCTCAGAAAAAAAAAATCATACACATTTTATATGAAGGGCCAACTTCACGCACTATTAAAACTATAATTTTTTTTTTTGAAACTAGAAATTGCATGAATATCCCCCTGAAAGGAACGTTGGATAATTGATTAAATTACAGTTCAATAGTAGTTTAGTTTAAATTACAGTTCATGAAGTAATAGCGTAGAGCCAAACAAATGGATGTGGATTCAGCGCCGACACCCCATATTTCAAAATTGTTTTATAGCAGGTAATTGTGTGAGTAAATTATGGAATTCTCCTTCAAATGAAGAATAATGAGAAAAATATAAATGTATTAATAACAATAATAATATTAAGATCCCAAAAAATAAAAAATTTCAGTAGGGGAAATGCGAATTTGTTAAATACACATTAAAATAATATTATTATAAACATCATTTTTGGACTTATATTATATTATTAGAAAAACAAACAACGTGTGAGGTGTGAGCACGCATATAGATGGTGTACAGAAAAATACACGAATTTCTAGCAAATGCCTTTGAGAAATGATGAAAAACAACCCATGATGGTGTCTGGAATGTATCTAAACATGTAATAGGAAATATCTAGAACTTTTCCATCTAACTTTTCGAAATGAAAGAATTTTTTCAATGATATAATCTTATAAACATATAATGACATCTTTTGAATATAAATATAGGGCCACTTTCAAGGTAAATTCACTTGAGTTCAATTTGCCTATACGAAAAGACAAATTAAACCAATTAGGAAAATGTTCGCTCGTTGTGCTTTGTTCTTCACAATAATCGGTTTGGCAATTTTAATTTCGTAAGTCACTTTATCTTATAATTTTAAATAAATTTAAGAAAATTATAGATTATTTGAACAATATTGGGGTTTCGATATTGAATTAACATTCAATTTATAGGCCAACATTAGCCGGCGTTAGCCATAGCAAAGGAAAAGGCAAAGTCAGGTTCGTGTGACTATTTTATATTATTTCACTATCATGGTATGCATGCACTTCGTTTGGACAAATCAGCAAATTTCTAGTTTTTCCGATTGCGTGCAAATCCGTCACAACTTTATACCATTTTTATCATTAGTGTAACTTTTCCCAAATGTGATTTTGTATGATAATTTTTATATTAAATTTAATTTTAAAAAAAACTCTTAGTTCGGGTCAAGAAACGGATCAATTGGTTCAAATCCAGCGAAAAGATTTAAGAAAACTCCAAAATCTTTATACTCCGGATGGCACGAAAAATTATATTGCTTACATGACAATCAGCAACTATATTCGATGGCTTGAACAAAATCCCAAACTGAATGATGTCAAATTTTACTCGCTGAATGGCAATTTCTCCGACGGAACGTTTTTGGTTACGGTAAATACTTGAAAATCTTTAATTCAAAATTAATCGAATCAATAATAACTCATCTATTAGGATGGTTATGCTGCAAGTGTGGACACGTTTAATGAGTCTTACGATCGGCTCTATCGCTTGTTGAAGTTAGTTGACTACTCTAAAAATTACTTTTTCATGAGCATCCGAACTGAAATCAAACCGATTTTCAAGCGTGCTCTTGAAGAAGTAAATATTGAAATTACTTTGGACGAGCCGGCACTACTTTACTATTTGCCAAAGAATAATGCATTGAAATTTAATATTCAGTGAGTTAGCTATTTAGAAACTGAAATGAAAAAATACACATGAAATGAATTAAAAAAAACTTTCATCAATAGAGTGCCTGAAGGAATAGAACTGCGACAAATTCGCGACTCTCGTGATATGGAAAAAGTAATTGCGGCATATCCACATCCAAGACAAAATTTACAGAGTTACGTTGAAAAATTGGGCAAATATAATCCACAGATTGGAGCATTTAAAAAAGATGATGGCACCATGGTTGCTTGGGAATTTATGTAAGCCATTCACTTTATTTCATTTTGGAAAAACATTTAACATTTGAACTTATTATAGTTATCCTTCGGGCTTACTGGGTGTTTTGCAAACAGACCCATTATATTACGGTAAAGGCTATGCTGCATTAATAACTAAATACCTATCGAAACAATTGGCTGAAATGGGTTTCGATGTTTACACCTTAATTGATGAAGTAAACACACCGTCTCGGAAACTTTTTGGCAAGCTTGGTTTCAAATCAATTGGCGAAATACACTGGATAGACACCAAAGTTATGTACAAATGAAAAATTAATAACTAAATACCTATCGAAACAATCAGCTGAAAACAACTGCCATCCAATACAATTCAATGGATATTTTCCACTGATTAATACATTGCCATGTATTCATCACAATTAGAATTTAGTCCCTAGTTTTATTAATAGAAGTTTTGCTTTGTCAATGTAGAAGTAAAAAAATGATTCAATAAAATTGACTGAAATGTATGCATGGAATTTTTATTTTTTCTCAAATGTTTCGAAGCTATAAAAATTTATTCATTTAATATCAGTAAAACATTCATTGCTAAAAGCAACGCCAAATGACGCTAAGATATCTTCTCATTTTGCGTTCCAAATCAATTCGATAAAATATAAACAATATTTTCTTCATTTTGATGAGAACTCAATGAAAGGCGTAGCATAGACAAGCCAGCAAATATGATAGACTAAATGCGCGAAATTTCAATTCGAACATATGTCACAAGAGATCGTTTGTGAGATTTGCTGATAGAAAAACAATGGTGCTATTAAAATGAATAGACTCCTATCGAAAAACGAATACGTTGTATTCATTTTGAATGAAGCGAACATTTGTATTTCAGACTTATCAAAAATCTCAATCAACGAACTAGGCTCATATCGATATTTTGATTATACAAATTGTATTTCGAAATTGTATGGATAAATCTTTAGTATTGCGGTTGTTAATTTAATTTTATGCAATTTACTTAAGCGAGTTCCGAATGGAAAATCCTATATACAATATGGTTTTGTTGCAATGAAATCAATCTCATGCATTTAATTTCGTCGAATGATAGTCTGTTTCAGACGATTCTTTTTTTTTATTCCTTCTCGTATGAAGACAGCATAATTTCGAAAAGACGATTGGATTTTTTCCATTATTCTTCTTTTTTTTTTCAAGTTGAATGTAGCAATTTCCTGAAGAGAGTTGTAGTTTATTGTAATTTTACTGAAAGCCGCTGTGAGGATTTGAGTGGGTTTTTTTCATCATAGCGTGTATGTCACGTTGGCACAGACATCGTAGACCTCACACCAGATAATAATCATTTTCAAGTCTTCAATGTCGTGTTTGATTTTCAGCCGTATTTTTGCACAATAGTTTATTGTTCGTAGTTATAAGTCTGTATCTGCGTGGAGGAGGCAATCAACAGCATTTGAGAAAGAAAAAAAGACAATATTGATCTAATAAACGTCATTTGAACTTCTTTTCAACTTTTCTCCCCGCCGCGCCACACTTTTTGGTTTTCCCTTTTCTTATGCGATTCGCCGCGTCTCAAACGTGCCAGTTCGATAATATAGATAGAAAACAATCGGAGAGAAAAAGAGCGACAGAGGAAGAAAGAGTCAATATTCTAGCCGAACAGACAATGCAAACGGCCCGAAACAAGCAGAACAATAGAAGAGACTGACACAGGCAAACATAAATAAATAAAATATCAAACAGTGTAGAAACGATGTAAAATAATGTATACGTGCATCAGTTTTATTGCAGCAGCACAGTGTGTGCGTTTATACAAAAGCCCGTTTGATATGCAATTTATATAGCAACATGACATTGAGCGACGTTTGACATTAAAATTCAAATAAAATGCGGCTTATTCAATTTGTTTGCATGTTTGAACGCAACGAGCAATTCATTAGGTGTGGCTTCATGAAAATCTTTCAAAAGCTACATATTCGCAAACAATTCAGGGAAAAAAATTCATTTCCTTATTTCCAAGATGAAACAATTTTATTAGGCCAATTCTTATTGCCACAGTTTGAGGCAAATCCATACAAATATTCATAAAAACACAAATATTACCAACCATTGTGGTAATGAAACATATTGAAAACTTTATTGCAATAACTGGTTGGTTTCCTCTGCTTTTGTTTCCACTTGCAATCTATTGTATTGTATATAGGATTGAAACTGAAACATATTGCAAATGCAGCAAATTTCGATTAACTAACATTTCAAAACTGTTTTCAAACGAATGTTTTTCACTTGAAAACTATTGTTTAGTTCTCAATTCAATACCACACAATACGACTCGATGATTTCAACATGGAAATTGACCGTTTTCTTAATGCACTTGAATTATTTAACAATCCTTTGGATTCAAAAACTGGAGAATTTAGTTCAAACTCTCTCTCTCTCCCCCGAAATCTCTTCCTTTGTGTGAACAAAACTCATTCGTTTCAAAATGAATTCATTGATTTGCGAAACGATATGTTCCTTCCGAAGTTTCAGCTGTGACAAAAATGTGTTAAAAGGATGGGATGTATTCGTCTGTGTCATAATGGGTTTTTCCAATTAAAATGACATTTGTCGGTTAGAATATTTTATCAAAATGCATTTCGATAGAATCACCCACATTTTTCAAATGCGCATTATTCATAGTTCGATGATCATCGTGACAAAAGCGGATGATTAATTTGCGAATTTTTGTTTTCCGTTCCATTTGAATAGAAGACGTGTGCCAAAGTTTATCTCCGACTTGAACAAAAGTTAATTAAATTTGTCAATTCTTCACACGTGCCACACATTGCACTGACACATACTTTATGACTGACGGTCCAAAGCTGTCGAATTGTTTGGCTGTTGGATTCCGTGTGACGTTGAACGAAATGAGATTTGAAGTCTAATAGGAACCATTGAATGATTTAATCGGCGTAAAGCGATAGAAAACGAAAAACAAGCAGAGACAGTGAGAAAGAGGGGAAGATGTGGTATCGTATGGCATCAATTGCAAAGAAATACTTTGTATCAAAATTACCAGATGTCCGTCGAATTAACCATTTGACCAGAATATACATGTATAAAATTTAATGGCACAGCACATGTATTGAACTGCAGCACCCATCAGTTGTTGCTGCTATACAGTATGTGCACGCCTGTATGCGACACCATAAATCGATTGCCATTTATATTTTTTTTTGCATTCGTCTGCTGTTTTTATGATGTTTATTCGCCTTTTCATGGCTCTCCCTCTCTCTCTCTCCCTCTCTTCATCTATCTTTTGATGATGTTCTTGCATTCAAAGTGCTGTTATTTCCCTTTGTTCTCGTTAAAAATTATCGCATTGTCCGTTTCAATGGCATTTCTCACAATTGGGTCGGGAATAGAATCGATTTCAGTCCTGTTTTTCTCTCTCACACTTCATCCTCCCTCTTTTACTCTGATTTCTTTCATTCGGCGCATTACAAAAGCGAGAGCATTGATTTCGGCCACCAAGTAAATAGCACAACGTAAAATATATTGTTGCTGTGGAAATTGGATGATGATCCCTTCGGAAAAAATCGAAAAAATATTTTCGATATAAATTTCGTTTGAAATGCATAATTAAAAATGAACAATGCATGCTACAGGCAAACATAAAATCACACAGGAAAAATGAAACCAAATGAACATCCAATGAGAATGGATGTTGAACAAAGAGATAGAGAAAAGTGATTGTGCATTTACGCCGAATTTATATTGACACACAAACGAGGAAAATTACATTTATGGCATTCAAAAAAAAAATGCAATACAAAGGATTCCATTTGAAAGTTTTACACAATGACAACTAACACACGCATTCGCATTCGATTCGACATTGTTTCGAAATTGTGTGCGCTTCAACTATTAATAAATTAATAATGCTATAATTGAGAGAATGAAAATGAGGGTTTATTCCGTGTATGACCAACAACATAGTTATGTTTGTGCACCAAATATGGTTCATTCAGTTTTTTTTGTTTCATTTTCTCGTTGGTTGCATTCGGCTATTCATCTCTTAGTCCATGCTTTCATCGTTCCATTAAAAGTTGCACGTTCCACAAAAATTGTGACTTCGACAATTCGTTCGCTTGTTCAACGCGTATAAATTATGAGTTTTTAATGTGTACACACACACAAATAAATTATGGCTCACTCGCTGAAATGGCTGTCACAGTGCATACACAGCTGATACAACTATAAAGCATAAATCATTTTCCATTTTTATTATTAAGTTAACTCTCTATTTACCTAATATATATTTTTCGAAATGAGAATGTTCCATAATCGAAATGTGCATTAAAAGCAACAACAACCAAAAAAACTGTGCACATTTTTATGTTCACAAATGCACATTAAAATGTCTCAGCCCATAAACTGAAGCGCGACAGACTGAACTGTGCTTCAATGAAATAAAACTACGAACCAAATATGCGTGAGCTATGCAATAAAAATATGTGAATAGATAACTTCAATGGTTCACCATAAATTTAACTCGATTTGATGTTCAATCAAAATCATTTAATCAATTGACATTTTTTCATTTGTTAAAAATCACGGAAATCCATCCGATTCCAGTGATCGACGAATTTTAATCAAAACCCATTGTTTTTCTTTTCGATTTTCCACATAAAAAAAAGTAGTTCAATATGACCGATTGGTGGCAAGTGGTTTCAACTGCTTATGGGTGTTGAGAATGTGCTCAATTGTGCTCGAAATGCTCATTGAATCCAACTTGAACCGTTATACATTATTTTCGAAAGAGGAATCCGCAAAAAAATGAGTGGCACACCAGGTTATATGCAACAGCAGTGATTTTCTGGCGTCAATCACTATTGATTTTTTCTCACTTCTTCAGCATAATCCATCAACTGTGCACTCACTCCATCTCCATCCATGACCTATTTCAATTTTGCAAGCTCATATTGTACAGCTGAACAATTTGAAACCGACTGACATACCTTTTATATATAGTGAATCCATGCATTCAACGACATAAAACAGCTGAAAAAGGCTAACGAGCTATATTTCAAAATTCTCGACGTAAATTGTACAATACAAACCGTTTTATGTAAATGAAACGAAGAGATTTCATGCATCCTTCGTTTGTGTGTCTCGACCCGAACGAGAAACCTTCATTCAATGAATGTGTTACACAATACAGATGAATCACATCAAGTGGAAATCAAAGCCAGACCTGATTCACCTGTAAAATGACGGCACCATGACAACTAAGCACCCAACCGAACACCATTTTAACGAAGCACATCACTCACCGTTCGTAACAAATCCGATTGTCATAAGAACGTGCATCTTTCGTCATTAAACTGAAAACTGGAACAAAATGAAAACACTCTCTTTTTTTTAATATCTTTGTCATTTTTATTAATTCATTGTTTTTCCATTGATAGATATAATATGTACTATGTTTGTATCTTATTAATGAATTATTCGTTAGATATATTGTATTTTATGATTTTTTTCCTCTTAATTTTTTTTGTATGTGTGTATTTTGTTTTTTGTTTTACGCTTAGTACAGAATAAAATTAAAACATATTTTTTCAGTCTTTTTACCTAATATTTACAGTTTACACAAATTTCCAATACATTTTTTCGTCATTCGATTGATTTTTTTTTTACCTTTCTTTTATTCATCTTACTTTGACTCTATATCCATAAAATTAGTTTATTTTAAGTGACGCACGTGTACTTGTTTTTTTTTTTTACTTATATTCGTCATGGAAATGTCATCCAAAGGGCAACATTCTGATTTTCTCACGTGAATAGGGATTTTGAAAAAAAGAGTCGTTCAATCCGATCTTTTACATTATTGAATATTTATGAATTATGTATTGAATTTATTTGGAATATTGAAATGGGGAGAAAAAACACGGCGTATACGGTCTTTGTCTTATGCTAGACTAGATAAAAGAAAAACTACTCATTCGCACGAAAATCGAATGATTTCCATCGAAATACGTGTATTTTGCCATTGTTTTTCGATTCCTTTCGCTTTCTATATACACAATTTCATGTTCAATCTATTTCTGTGTTCCATTCTGCAATTGAATTTTGGTCAATATATGGATTTATGTTATGAAATGCTTTTGTGCATATTTACCATTGAAGTGATTAACAAAGTTCTCGAAACATTATCCTGGGTGATATTAATGTGCGCGTTAAAACAGCAAGTACATCAATAATATTCAGAACCATAGATTCATATCACCATTTAAAAAAAATCTAAATATTTATTGTAGTTTTCTTAGTAGGTTTATGCTTTGTTTTGTAGTTTAAACTAAAGAAAATCCAATAGTTTTTTCAGCTTTATATTCGGTTTAATGAGCGGAATAAAACCGTGATTGTGTTTTGTCAACGTGAACCGACGAACAAAAGAAAAACTACAAAAATTTAACGCAATCTCATAATATTCATGGAGAAGCCACTTCATTATATGCTTCAGTGCGTTTGGATCTCGAGCTTAGCGTTATTTTCTTATGATTGCATGAACATTCCCGACATCGTGATCACATCACCAATGTCAAATAATATTCGCTCCAGTTTTGCGCTCATTTCTGTAGTTTAATTAGCTTTTTTGGCTTGATGGTTCAGGAAATTTGAGATTCTTTGTTGAAGACATTGTTTTCAACCGCTATTTATCATAGTTTCGGGCGTTTTTTATATTCGAAACAATTATGATGAAAATTCTTCTACGGAATGCACGGAAAAGAGTTATAATCGAAAGCAGAACTATAACAATTTCCCAGGAATTTTGCACAGTCGATGAAATTTCTGTGCTTCTTCCGCGCACATAAACCCCACAAAACAAATTCTAGATGGAAAAAAGTTCTTGTTTTTAACAATGAAAATTGGTGTGTTTTTTGTGCCAAATTTTTCCATGTTAATTCCGTTTTTGTCCGACATTCAAATGATTGTGTGAGCTCGAGTATTTCATGCTCTAAATAATCTATTGAATCAAAATGAAGCGCTTCGAAACAAGACACATTTAAATTCAGTTTTTCTTCTTTCTTTCAGCTGCAATTGTTCCAGATTCAAAGGGAAACACCATGGAACTAATTTGGTTTTCTGCAACTGCCAACATTTCTTTGAAATGGAAAAGAAATCAAGAATTTATAACACATTCCATTGGCAAAGTGTTCATCGATTCACGAACAAAATCAACACCACTCTCTTTTCCGTCCTCTATTTACATTAAAAATCTACCTTTATTTTCTTTTGAGGAAAAAATTGAAGAACTGTTGGATTACTCTCGGTAAATTGAAAAAAAATGCTTATTTTCGTTAATATTTATTAGCTTTGATTTTCGCATGTATTTTACAAAATATCTACGACGAACGAATCAGCCGATGAAAAAAAATATGGTTGCATTTTCAGCGAGCAAAACAAACAAAAAAAAAACATGTGTTTGTGTGTCAATGAAAAAAGAACCGTAGTATTATGGATGGAATACAATTTGAATACAAGTTGAGCTGATGCTGCAAGCGAGTGTGTTTATATATGTAAGTATGTGTTTCAAGCGAATCCAATAAAAAATAAATATTCTGTTTGCTGATGGCCTATTTCTCTATTGTTAAAAGTTAAACTTTGTATTTCTTTCTCATTTAATAATCCTTTAGGTTGTGTGTTTTTTTTTTCTTCTTTATTTTATAGACATCTATATAATTACTATTGAACGTGTTTGTATATTGAGTTTATAGGAAAAAGTTCAGTTTGATCACAATGAAATCGAGCTTCATTCTATTGTTAGATTTTTCAATGTACACAATAAAGTTTTTATTTATTTTTTGTTGTTTTTCGTGCTATTTATTTTCAAATTCTGTTGGCGAAATCGAAAATGTTTCTTGTTGTTTTATGTATTCGTTCGATGTGGAATGAATGACGAAATGTGCGATTATTTTTCGCCAATATATATTGGATAGTAGTTTTGTAGTAATCTCACTCTTGACGTGTGTGTGTTTCTGTTTTTATTTTAATGTTCTTATATGTTCATAAAAATGTACGCGATACATTGGCTAGCATTTCAATTACATTGAAACAAGCGAAAATTCGCTGTGTGCCCGATATTGTGTGGCACTTCGAATTGAATCGATATGGCAACATGGAATTTGATTCAGCCATTTTGTAGGAGGGTTTGAAACCCTTTATAATTGAATCATAATCAGAGATTGCGAAAATTGTAGAATTGTCATGTCTACATCGAATCTCCGTCGATTTCAGTAAAATATTGAAATTCGAGTATCTCGATTACGGCCTCAATAGGCTGAATAAGCATCGGTTCGAATTCGTCCAGCGAATTTTCAACGTTTCGGTAACATGAAACTTTGCCCAAAAACCTACTTGGTTAGATGGATAATTTAATCAGCGGATTATTTTCTCATCAAAATCCAATTTCAATTATTTTTTTTTATTTTAGAATATTTTTTTTTTTGAATAATATTAATGCAATTTAAGTGAACTTATTAATAAATATTGAAATTTGTTATCTTTTTTTGTTTTGTACACAAAAGCGAACATTTTACAATTAATATTTTTCTCATTCTGTTTCATTAAAATACTTTACTATAATGTAATATTTCTGGATTCTGTATATAAAAAAAAGAACGAATTTATATTCGTCTCTTTCGATTATGCTGTTAGGTGAACATTTCATTTTTTTTTTAAATTGTAGCTTGCTGTCCTTAATGAACCTAACTTGTCTCTAAATTGTTAATGATGATCTATAAATTAATGTTTTGAGTGTATTTCATCGATTTTCCTTCTTTTACTTTAATATTATGTTTACTTTTTCTTTAAATATTTCATAATATATAATAAAAAGTACTATTTACAATTTGATAGGAACGTTTTCGCAAAAAAATTTCTTTCGATAAATTACAAGTGTTTTCTTTTTCTTCGTCTTTTTTCCACCTTTTTGTTGTCAATTATTATTATTATTAGTCGTTTTATGTTTGCATTTCGAATTGGCAGAGCATGCGTGTCAATGTTTGGTGTTTTAGTATAGGCGCGTGGATAGACTCTAATCATTATCTCGTTGGAGCTTGATTTGGTCATTTGGAAAGCGCAATTATGATGAAAGCATGTTCTATTGGCCATTTGCATCTAAAAAAGGCTCATCGAAAGCGTGAAAATCGACAAACGAGACCAGCATACAAGAAATTGCATGTTTGTACTCGACATTACTAATTTGCTTTTAGAAAAAAACCGTTTTGAAAACAATTCACAAACAAATGGTTGGCTCCATTCGTTCACTGTTTTGTTTTGCAATGGAGTCAAAAATTAATGGTAGCTTCTATGTAGTATCTATACTATATTGTGTGTGGGTGACTTAAACATGAATGGTAAGCCGATCAACGTCGACATTAACTCCGACCTCATTATCAACTAGTGGTGCTTTATCAATGTTTGTCCTTGATTTTCGTCGATTTACCAAAAATGCAAAAATTACCGTTAAAAATACGCATAATGCGGCTCCCATGCCGAGCAAGAATTCTCGGTGATTTTCATATGTGGCCCAGACTAATAGCGATGATTGGGCCAATGTTGATTCAAACGATGCTTCATCGAAGTGAATTTGCTCGTAGATTTTGTCCATGGTGTCATCATCATCATCATTTGTTTCGTTATCATTGAATGTTGTGCTGGTAATACCGTTGTCACGATTGTTGCTATCGCGCAATATTATCGATTGATCTGGTTGACTTACAGTATCATCACTCTCAGATAATAGAGATGTTGAAGCGGTCGGTACGCGCACCATCACAACGGCTTTGTTTGTGTCAAGTGTTAATGGCAACGAACGACTGATTTCCTCCGTTTGCTATTTTGCGACAGCGACAGATAAAAAAAAGAACAAAAAAAAAACACGAAATAAATGATTTTGCTATAGAATGAATGATGTCTTAAGAGAATTGCGTCTTAACAGCGTACTGTTGTTGTTATTAAGTCAACTGGAAAATAAGTTTTCGTTAGCGCATTACACTTCCAACTATAACTGTTCGGTTGCGAACGCAGTTATATTAAGGAAAATGAGCTCCGTACAATGTACGCTTGATTATATTCAACAATACTGAATCGCTCATGTTTTTGAAGTGTAAATCGTTAGTTTAGCATTTCGGTATCTGTTCTGGTGACGATTTAATCGAGCGCAACGTTGATTTTTCCTTCATCTTTTCTTTTGTTCTGAATAGTAATGTAACAATAGATTCATTTCGATCACTTACCTTGTTCTTGCAAGTCACTTGAATACGGTATTTTGTCTCCGGCCATAATGACAACTCCACATTTGATGATTGAGTCAATAGATTACCAATTAGACCACCGCCGCTTACTTCCCATGTAACCAAACAGTCGCTTGGTGATTTGGTTGCTGTCCATGCGATATTTGTCGATACCAATGAATTATCACGTACAATTGATTGTACTGATAACGACCAAGTATCCAAAATGGATTTGTTTATGCTCGTCGATGCGGTACATTCATCCCAACACTGTAAGAAAAGAGAAAAAAAGAAAATTGATCAGTTATATTCAATGTGGAATCGCTAAAAGAACTAAACAACCAAAATGCAAATAACCATCATATCAAATGTGTTAAAATGAATGCCAAAAATGTGTTCGTGATGCTAAATTGATGTTACATCGTCTTGATTGCAAAATACAAAGAATTCCATTCCGTTTTCATATTAAAAATCTCATCAAATTGAATGGACTTTGTCTCTCCGATTACATTTTGTACACATACACACACACATTCTGAACATTTTTCACTGCGATCCCGATTAATGCATACGTTTCGCACAGCATGCTCAATGGAACATGCATCTATATCGGTGGAGCACATGAAAAGGTGACGATAAACGAAATTCTCTCTCACTCCGTCTCGTCGCGTCTATGACACAAACGACGAGAATCGATAGACGAATTGCGAGAATGGAAAATTCATCAGTATGGTGATTTCGTATGTAAAAGGAGCATTATTCATTATTCCGTATGAGATTTCTCGAGGGTTCGGTTTTGCGTAAAATAAAGCAAAGCCATGCTTGCTCCATCGGATGTGATGTTTGGCAAGAGCTTACACTAGTCAATTCCATTGCACAAAGTTGCTGAATGCCATTTGAGAATGTGTAAGAGCTCATTTTTCATTCAAAACAGCAAAGCACACGATGATTGAGAGACAGGAAGAGAGAGTGTGAGAGAGAGAAGCAAAGAGCACAGAGTGTGTCTGTATATATATGGGTTTTTGATGAATATTGCAGTTCGGGTACGATGATGCAAAAGACAAATGATTCAAACTGCGGGAAACAAAAGAGAAATATATTGATTTTCGTTTCCTTTCCATTCTATTCCATTCTGCTCGTTTGCCTATTCCACGCGTGCTCAAACACACAAGTAATGACAAACTTTGCACTCACATTTCCATGTATTTTGCATTTGAAATTTGTTTTTGACATTAAATACGCTTAATGACTTGAAAAAGTTAAGTTGCAAATCTCTCTTGGCTGTCGTCTCTCGCGCTCTTGTGCTTTCTCTCTGTGTCCCTCGCTTGTTCTCTCTGTCTTCGTCGTTTCTCGCTATTTCCGTTATTTTCGATTAGTATTTCCGAAGACATTGTCCATTGTCGAAGTGTTTTGGTAACTTTTGTTATTGATTGCCACGCAAAATGTTGGTGGAAATTTAAGCGATTTTAGTGTGTTCACATTGGCATTGGCATTGAATTCCAAAATATCGGTGCCCACGGCGGTTTAGATAGTCGCAGAAGGCGACAACATTACATGGCAAAAATTATGAGGGAAATTACATGTTGTTGCAATACACACACACACCACCGTAAAACTTTTGCTGTAGAAAACTTGAAAATTTCATTCCCTTTGACTGCGATGAGGGTGTCTACGACCTCAACAGTTACTTTAATGCAATTGACGACGAAGACGTTCACATTACGCGCACTCGCTTTGAAATGCAGACGCATAAATGTTCGGCTACGTGTTTTCTTATCGTTAGTGCAATTGCAGACAATACAAATTAAGTAAAAACTTTTGTTCAGGCGCGAATTTATTTTAATTTATCGCTCGAATTCGTGAACATTGTGTATATGTGTGCGTGTGTCTGAAGTAGCAGTTTTTGCTCAGCTGCAAAATTGTATTATGTCGCGATGCGCGAAATGAGTAAGGAGTGAATGCATATAAAAGAAAAGAAGACGCAAAGAAAAAGCGAACGAAAAAAGTGACTATAATTTCCGAGATGAATTTGTCAGATTATTGTTTTAAATTATGGCACACACTTGTGAATGAGTAGAAATTTGCCTACTGAGTGTGCGTACAATGGCATTTCATCTCTTGCTGAAAAAAAAAACTTATTCACAAAATTGGATTTGTCACTGTGCATTTCTGCCGTTCCTCAGCCAAAATGAGGAGAACAGGACAAAGTGTGCGAGCGCATCGTTGCTACTTCAATCGCACTAAAAGTGGAACAGACTCGAAACTTTTTCCATAAATGTTTTGTGATTACATTTCCATTTCGCTTGTGCTCAAAAGCGCTAATAAACTTTTTCCGGCAACTTAGTCGCTTTTTCTTACTCTTGATGGTCTTCTCTGCTGTTTTTTTTACGACGCTTGAAAGAGTTCTTTTCTGCCTCCCTTTCTCTCAAATAACTTTCAATAATCTCCTTAGCAGAAACTACGAGAGATATAAAAATTCAGTAGAAAAGCGAACGGCAAATATGAACGGATTTTTAATTGAATTTCTTCGTTGAGTAGTTTGCTGCAACGCAAAATCGTTTTGTTTTCTAATGTCGCATCGCATTACATAGTCTTTCTCTCACTTGTACATTCTTCAGAATGCTTTTACATTTGACGCTCTCGTTGTTATACCATAATTTTCGCACTTCACGCGATCAATTTTCGTTTCCGTTATTTTTCCGTATGCAATTTTATTCTTGGAAGAAGAAAAAAACGGGCACAATCCTGATGATGCTGGCGTTCAAGAAATCATTCACACTACATTGTGGCGTGTACGCTTTGAGTCGAGCACTTGAAGAGATGGTAGCGGTGATTTTTGCTCTTTTTCAAATATGCTACAACGATTTAAATTAAACGATTATGACCTCACGTCCATTCTGCAGTAAGAGTGCATGTACGTTTTTTTTTGTGCGAATGCAAAAGTGTGACGGTGAGCCACTATTCTATGAGCCAGAAAAATTGCACCATATCGAATAGAACGAAGAAAAACGAACTAATTCTATGTGCGCGACTGAGCATGTGCTGAGGCGAATGTGTTTTGTAGCACACACTTTCTTCGCTGTTTAGAAATGATTCAGACAGAAGTTAGGCCGAATGAAATGCGCATCGAAATGATGTTGTGGAACAAAAGCTGAATGATAATGACGTGAAACGAATAGCCGAGTCCAATAATTAGATTTGGAACGGGGCACACCACTCATGAATATAATCCACACAATTTCGATTTAGACTATTGCTAGACCATTTCTTTTTTGTGCAAATATCAAGGCGCGTTTATGTTGAGTGCATTGACGTGCCTGATCAGATACGGTAAAAACAGGCAAGATGCCAGGCTAAATTAAGTCAGATATCAAAAATGGGAAAAGAAAAGTGAAAAATTCAATAAAAATCTGCAATAAACGAGCGAATGAAATAAAAGTGCCATGGGTATTGTGTTACGGCAGCAGCAGCAGCACCAAAGACGCATACAAACACAAAGAAAGAGCATTGTGTACATTGCTGCTGTTGCTGCTTTGTGTATCTTATGGTGAACTCGCCTGAGTGGCACACCATATCGATATGCAGCGCGTATACGCCGAAGAATTTCTGTATCCGACAGCCATTATTACATTTCATAATTCTTTCGCATGAACACCTGTAATGATATAGTAGTCGATTTGTGTCTTGAGTGCGGTTCACTCTTGTAAGTGAACAAACACATCTTGGGCCGCGTAAGCAATGCGAGTGGATGTAAGCGCGTGTATAAAAGAGAACAAACATAAATACATTATTTACTGCATATTGGACGTCTTTTCTGGCTCATTTTGTACAATAAAACGCACAACCATCAGCACGTACTTCGGTACCGATATAAATCTAGGAGTATGATTTTTGCCCGCCGATATTTTGCCGCGTAAATATTTCATTATTATTTATTTTTGAGTGTTGAACGTTTCGCTGACGGACGATTGTTTTGTTTTGTGGTGTGTCGACAGGTAGAAAGAAATATATATCAAGAGCAATGCCGAAAACAGTTCGTTTTATTTTCGATTCAATTTTAGCTGTGCAAAAGAGAGGGAGAGAGATCAACAACAAAGCAGAAATACTACAAAACAATTTATCTCAATCGACGTTGTGAGCATTCCACAACGTGTGTGCACATGATTGCCGTGTTCGATGTAAATCAAATGACTAAATGTAAAACGCGCACCAACTCAACCTAAACACTATCTCACAACAATGGCAAGTGGAAAAGTTCAAGCGCATTAAATGAAATTACAGAATTAGCTGCGGTAGCTTAAAGCTTGCAATTACTAGTTTCCTGAGTGATGCAAAACGCATATAAAATACATAATTTCATGTTTCTAGCACCAATTTTGATGCCGGTACAATTCAAAACCTATAAAGAATATGAGAGAGTGAAGCATTCGAAACGTGCACAAAACACGATGTGGATATGCGAGGCCAACGGTCCAACATTCTCAACACTATATATAATATGATAGTAATAATTAGCCGTAGCTAATTTGATGAGCATTCAAACAAACAGACCAACCACACATAAATCCACAATTCACATCGCCAAACAACATTCAACCTCTATCACATTCTGACATCAACAAAATGCTCAATCGTTGCTATTCATGCATTTGCCGCACTCTCTGCATCTCTCTGTTTACTCTAATGAAATGCTGAATATTTTAATAATTTCAAAAATGAAAAATGTTTCAACAATTTTGTAGATTTTTTTTTTTGAAGAATTGCCCACATAGAGATAAACATCTAAACCACCAAATGAATATCTAAATGCATTTTATTCTCGACTCTATTATGTATGCCAAGTATTCTTCTTCACATCGAATTATGTGCGTACACACAGTTAGCATATTAAACCAAAAGGCAAAGAACCAAAATTAGAAACACCAACTCTCTGAGCAGAGCAGTGTGTGTTATTAAACCGGTGTGTGTGTTTGTGCGTTTATATTTCCTGTGGCCAAACAATGAATAAATAAATTCATAAATGATTGAATAATACGAGAAATGATAATTTATTACACCTCAGAATGGAACGATTCAGCTGTGAGCATTCCATCATACATTTCAACGCACATCGTGCGAACCAAAACAAAAATACGTGGCATTTCGACCCATTTCTCCATGCACTGGATTCGCTCTTTTTGGGTCTGCTTGATTGATATTTGATTTTAGCACCACCGTTCTTTTTTTGTTGCTGTTCAATTCGAAAAGGAATCCTTTCGAAACATAAAAAT